CCACCAGTGTTGCCTGGCAGGATTCCGGCTCTGCTCTGGTTGCCCGCCTGGGTTCCTGTTTGGCAGGAGCCTCACTGGCTCATTCCTCCAGCTCCGTCCTGGCTATCTGCTGGGGTTCCTGTATGGTTGGGGCCCTGCTGGTTCATCCTGCCGGCCCCGCCTTGGCCTTCCACCCTGCCGGTTCCGCTCTTAGACCCTGGGCTACCTCTGTTCCCTGACCCCCTTCCTTGGCATGGTCCTGACCCCCCATCCCTCCCCCTGGTCCGCCTCAGTTCCACCTCCCTCCTGAACTTTTTATGTTTCCTGGTAGATCGTCTGGTATCCGCTCCGTAGAGGGGGGGTAATGTCACAGTGTCTGGTTGTGGTGCCCTGGACTGGCCACTTGAGGGCGCTCTCCTGTTTCTATGTTTTATGTGTTAAACTCCATTTCCCATAGTCCTTTGCTTGTTAATTCTGTTCTGATCAGTAGCACCGGTTTATTATTTCCGATCATGATCACCTGTTTATCATTTACTCATTATCCCATCTATATATACCATGCTCACTCTGTCGGTCATTGCTGCTAGATTGTATTTTGTCTTCTGAGTTCATAGTTGTTTCATGTTCTTCGTGTTATCTGTTCTCTATGTTTTGGATTACCTTTTGCCACGTTTTTGTTCTGTTTTGATCATTTGTTACTTTCAATAAACTGAAATTGGATCTTACCTTGTCTCTCCTGGCTTTCCGTGACAAAAGGATTCTGAAAAAAATGCATTTTATTCCACAAAAATATTACACCACAGGAACGAGTGATATTTTAAATATATATATATATATTTGAATTTGTAATGTTACACAATATGACTGTTTTTGCTGCATTTTAAATCAAATAAATGCTGTTTTGTGAGCAGAAGAGACTTCTTTCAGAAACAGTAGAAGTCGTTTGTCTGTTAGTGTATACCAGTGCTTCATGAGGGCCAGTAACAGAGTTTGCTGCAGACGAGATGAAGGCCTGTCTGAGTTCCTGAGAGTTCAGAGCCATTAAACCCAGACCAACATCAGTCTCTCAGAGAGCAAAGACTGGAGTGAGCGCAGCTCACAGAGCCTCTCTAGTGCTCATCTGACCACTGAGAGCAGAGCTGAAGAGACACAGCTGCACTCACAGAGCTCTCAAGCACGAGATGCCTCTGAACTCCTCAAACTCATCCTCCGCTCAACACAAGCACGCTCCCAGCCAGCACTGCTTACAGCAAGCGGTAATGTACAACACAGACCCTGACCTTAAGTGCATCACAGTAACTAAAGAACCGGTGTGGAGGGTTGGACACTTCATGTGGCAGCTTTTGTTGAGTGACAAAATAACCTTTTAAAACTCACAGAACAGCAGTGTAGGTGTGTATAGTGTATAGCGTGCTATCTGAGACAGGTCATTGTTTGGTCTGGTCATCCACACCAGATTCTAGCATCACCTAGCTTTTAAAACATTAGAGTCATCCTCTGCGTGACCAATCAAACAGTCCTGTTTCTCATAAGCCAAGACCAAGCAATGCCTGTGAAAAACTAAGGACTACGAACACCAGATCTGGTGGTGTTTAGTGCAAAATCTCTGCCTGCAGAGGAGACCGAGAGCATGAGGAGCATCCCTGACCGCATCTGTTCAGTCAACGGTCAAGCAAAGCCTGTGGAGGTGCCTGTCTCGAACATTGTAGGACAGGCTCCTCATGCACAAACCCAGTGCTCCTCACATCAATGAACTCTGCGGGAAGTGAAACAGGAACAGGTGTTCATCGGAGCAGTGTTTGAGTGAAAGTGAGCACAGGTGCCAGCGCTCTGATGCTCCACACACATGTTCTGTCCTCCAGACGTCTGGGGAAACACTGCTGTGTCTACCAGATACACGTCTAGAGCCACTTACAGCACTCCAGGGAGAAATACAACATCACACTCTTAATCTGAGAGAGGAACAACGAGACTCATACAGTACACTGTGATGTAAAGCTCATGAGCGCTTGCTATATTCCTCTCTGAATTGTAATAGTGTGACTACATCTGAAAGTTATTAGAAATGTTAATGTACAGACGCATCTATGCTCTGAATGAAGACTAAGAAGATGTATGCCAATACTACTGTAAAAAAATAAATCGGTTTGTAAATAAAACAAAGATTCTTAGAGCCATGTTTTACAAGAAAATACTATTTCAGTCTATCAACTTTAAAGGGGTCATATGATGCTTTTTTAAAGATCATTATTTTGTGTATTTGGTGTAACAGAATATGTTGACATGCTTTAATGTTAAAAAAACACATTATTTTTAAAATACTGTACATTATTGTAGCAAAACTTCGCATTTGAACAGTCAATAGCAAATCCTTAAACTAGTAACAAAACATACTTACAGTGGCTGATTCAGAAGCGCCAGATTGTCATAGCAAATTCAGAATTACCTCCTCTCCTAGGTTCATGAACTGGTCGTCCATAAAATGCATTGCTGTTCTGTTGTAAGTAATCTTAAAGATTCCTAAATGCATCTACTTTCGGAAGGCCAAATAAAGTGCTTTTGCTTTCGCCTAGAAACACACAGCGTCTCCCTAACATGGCTGCTTCAACACTAACTGCGGTTACTGAAACCACGCCTTCTTTCTTTGCGTGAACATTTGGGCCGCATTATGCAAATATTTCCACATAGTGAGGTAGATATGTGGGGGCGTGTTAGAACGAGCCGTTTTAGGGGGGCGTGGCAGAGTCTTAACTTTGATAAAGAATATCTCTTTGGTTTTGAGACTTTAGTCTTTGCAACTTCAGGGATCTTATCTATTCACGAACAGCTTGTAACACTCCAAAGAGAAAGGAAAACTTGAAATCGCATCATATGACCCCTTTAACATTTCTTGTTTAATTCAATGTGTCCCAAGTGAAAAATAAATCCACTAAAATGTATCTGAAATACATGTATTTCATGCTAAGTATACTTCAAATACATCATGTAACTAATAAAAATACCCTGCAGTTGTACTTTTAGTATACCAAACTGGTATAGCCTACTTAGAGTCTGTTAAACAGGAACAACTCATTTTGTGCATAATGCATTTTAATTGTGCTGAAGTAGTGCTTATAGTATGTACTTAGTATATTCGGTAGTGCTAAAGTGGAACTATTGCAAGTTTACTTTAGGTACACTTTAAATATCTCACATTTAAAGGCCGATATTATTCAGAGATCATACAATCCTTATCAATAGTGACATTTAAACACATTTTAGGCTTAAAGGGGTCATATGATTCGATTTCAGGTTTTCCTTTCTCTTTGTGGAGTGTTACAAGCTCTTGGTGCATAAAGAAGATCTGTAAAGTTGCAAAGACTAAAGTCTCAAATCCAAAGAGATATTCTTTATAAAAGTTAAGAGTCAGCCATGCCTACCTAAAA